CCTACAGAGCAGGCGAAGAGCAGCTGTGGAAACAAGTGTCACCCGACGCGGGGGGAAGACAAGCCAAGTCAGTGCTGGCTCAGGTGGGCCAACATCTCTGAAGCAGAGACAGTGACCTGGGCAGAGACATGGAAACGAGCGGCTATAAGGCCACAACTGTTGCCACCACCTCCTGTATCTACTGAGGCAGACACCGGGCAGTGGGAACGGAGGACCAGTGGGCATATGGCCAGCACAGGACAGCTCTCCTCAGAGAAAGGAGGACACCCAGATGCACGTCTGCCCCCACCCTGCGTGTCCTGTGCCAGGTGGAGAACTTTGGAGCGAGGGAAGGTTCCTGAGAATGGCTGGCGTGCAGACAGGCAGATGGGCACCGCTCTGCAGGCGGCTTGAGGACTCGGAGGAGGACGCCAGCGGTGCCACCTCCTGACTGCTGAGACATGGGTGAGAAACAGGGATTGTCCTGCAGAGGTCCTCATGGTTTGCAGAGAACAACGAACATCAGTGGTAAGGTACAGGCAGAATCGCAGGTTGCCTCGGGCTCCCTCCGAGGGAAGCAAAGGCCAGGGCCTGCCCCTGCACTGGGATCCTTGGGGGGAGGGGGCCGGGTCTAGCCGGGGCTCTGGGAGAGCGGGGCATGCCTTCTGACAGGGAAACTTGGCCCAGAGCAGACGCCACAAAGGCCGGAGCCCAGTCCTCAAGCTCCACTGAGCCTGACCCTCCTTGCTCCTACTTTGGGACCGGCCTAGCCCAGAGGAGCAGAGGTGAGGAGCCAGGCCTGGAGCTCCCCTGGGTGCAGCTCCATAGAGTCAAACTCGATATAGCAAAAGGATCTAAGAGGGTGGGGAAGGAAAGAGCAGTTTACCTATCAGATGTTGAATTTGAAGCAGTCTTGTTGCTTGGGAAACTGGAGGCAGATCAAATGCAGAAAGCCCAGGCAGGCTGTCTGTCTGTCCATCCGTCCGGCTCTCCCGGGAGGCTCAGAGCTCTTCTCGTATAAATGGGGTGGCACCGTTTGTGGCTGATCTGCTTCCTGCAAGTGGAGCAGGTGTTAGCATTCTTCAGGCAGTCACGGAGGCACTGGCTACAGAAGACGTGGCCACACTCTGTGGAGACTATGAGACATCATTCTGCACAAGCTCTGGATGTCCATCCATGCAGATGGAACAGCTGACGGTGCCAGAGGGCCTCAGTCCCAGGCACTTCTGGGAGCATGGGTGGTGACATACACATCCCTGTCCCTGGACAGCTCCTCATCATCGCTGCTCACCACACAGCTGTCCGTGTGGTCCTGGAGCAGCCTCCTCCAGGTCCTCCTTAGCCGCCTTCTCTCCTGAAGATGGTCCAGTGAGGCCTGCAGCACCACAGGCCCCACCCACGCCGGTTCTCTCCAAAGCCAGAGAAAAAGGATATGGAATCACTCGCCTTCAATAATCAACAAAGTCATTGTGAGTCAGGGCGATGACCATGGGCTCTAATGATTCACATGTGAGGTCCCTGATTTCATCTCCAGCCATTTCCACAAGTTCTATGGGCTCTGCTTCCAAGGCAGGCTCAGGGGTGGAGCCTGCTTCCCGAGTTCTCTTCTGGCCTTGTCTAGAACTTACTGCTCCACCATGATGCTTTCTCTGAGGGTGTTGTACTCTGTGCTCTCTGGCTCCAACAGAAAAGGAAGCGATCTACACTGAGCTTTACAGCAAAGTTGAACATTCTCAGCCTCTCATGCCCACTAGTTACTCATCTTCCCGCTTACAGAGAATTTGGAGCCAGGCAGATTTCCAGTATCTTGAAGTCCTGGTCACTGTCGCCACCCTGCAAGAGCTAGGAAGCACTTGGAGCTGCCAAGGAGACCTGCTCAAGCAGTCGATGAGTGCGATTTCTTAATGTCTCACAGGAAGGGAAGAATTGCCACAGTCATTATTGTGAACCTGACTTTGCAGTGACCAAAGATCAGAACTGGCTCTGTTCGGGGGTGACAGAAATGGAATAACAGAGATTTGAACAATCCATTTACAGCATTTTGGTCATCATAAGCAGCTCAGTTGCATGTTACCACTGGCTACTTATTAATGTGTGACAGACATGAGCTAGGAAGTGACAGAGAACATGCATTTATCATCCTGCCATGGAATACAAAAGCCTCGTTTGTCTGTGACTAACGGCAGGCTTCAGGAATGACATGGTGGATTATTATGCTGATACTTAACCAAAGAGATTATCATGTGTGGTTAGGTGTTTAATGTTGACTTTTGATAGTGATTTCTTAAAATGTGTAAGGCAGATGGCTTAACCAACTCTGCCACATTCATTCTGGTAATAAAAAGGAATAAACTGTGGATACACAGCAACGTAGATCAATCACAAAACATTTATACCTGATGGGGAAAAACTTATCCAAAAGCATACACACTGTATGATTCTGTTTATATTCTACAACAAGCAAAACAAACCTTTGGTGAAAAATAACTACAAATAACCCAGCCTTGGGGGCTAAGGAGGGGCTGGTGGCAAAAATGGAGGTGGAGTTTAGTGAGACCTGCAGCTACACTGAATTGCAGCAACTACAACAATAATGGATTGATAGATACACAACAGGGTATATCTAGTAAAAATTAATTGTCAAAGCTAGTGGTGGTTGTCTGTTGCTCATTGTCCATTTTTTTCAAATATCCTGTATGTTAGAAAATTTTATAATGATATGTTTTAAAAATATGATTTCAGAAACAATCTGTTAATAAAAAAAACACAAAAGAAAATCTGGTTAGTGGTTTTTGTGGTGCAGTATTCTTTTTAGCACTGAATATCCTTAGACATTTTAAACATTGCCTTTTCTCAAAATACTGGATAAAAGAGACATTTAAAATGATAAACACATAAAAACTAATGAGTTTGCACTACATGAATTGTAATCAAATTAAATGTGCAATTAAAAACTACTTAACAACGTATTTTTGACTGTACAATTTCATTTTCTTTTGTCAATCTCCATGAACTATCTTTTAGAAATGTCAAGTTCTAAAATACAAAAAGAAGTAATAAGCTGATAATAGAATTCCGTTAAGAAGAATATAGCATTTTTATGAACTCTGCCAACTGATAGGAAGCATTGTTGAAAACCTTGAGTTTCGGGTACAAATGACATCACCTTGGCTTTTTGTAGTCAGTTGAGACTATGAGAAGTATTGGGATTCTGGAAGACTGAATTTAAAGTGAATATGCCAAATGAGAGCATTGTATTTTTCAAAAGTACAAACTTCAAAAGGAACATGTACAGAACCAATCTAACTGGTCATTTTTCACTGAATATTCACTGTCTCATTCACTGAGGTTGGATTCAGCTTCCATACATACATTTTAAAATAATATGGAGAAATAAGTCATGATTTAAAGAGGAACAAGATGATTAAAATAATGAAAAACTGGTCCTATTAGGAAAATCTGAGAGAAGAAATTCTGCAAACTCTTCTAAGATAGAAAGTTTAATCCAGTGCTTGATTACTATTTTCAATTACGTGATGTGTTTCTACGAAGAGATTCTATGAAAACACTAACAAAGGGGACTTAAGCAGAAATATAGTTTAGTTTACAAATGGAAGAATCTCCTGGCTTTGAGGTCAATTAGAACCTGGAATAATTATCAAGGGATATTTTGGAATCTGCATCCCTGGAGAATTACAAAACCAGAATATAAATTCTGAATAGTTCGACATTGACTTGCCACAGGCTGAGAACTAACTCAGATGACTTTTGAAAGCACCCTCCTGAATCCCCATTCTAATAATAATGTTTCATCCTACAATAATAATTTTGAAATACAACTTGCGACTCATTTACATTGTTCTTGCCTATGTATAACTTTAAATTCACTTAAAAGTAATGGTATTGGGCCGGGGATTTAGCTCAGTGTTTTTGCCGCCTGCTGCACAAGCACAAGGACCAGAGTTCGATCCCCGGTACCAAAAAAAAAGTAATGGTATTAATGATTCTTTTCATTGCACTTATCTCTTAATAAATGATTAGATATTGTTTTGGTGACTGTAATGCTGCTCTTTTTTTTTGGTACTGGGGATCAAACTTGGAACCTTGCACTTGGGAGGCAGGCAGCAGCACCACTGAGCTCAATCCCCAGGCCTTGTAATGCTGTTCTTAACTTTGTTTCTGTATTTTTTAATTATTATGAAATAATTATACAGTAGTCCCCCCGTATTCCCAGGGAATAATATATTCCAGAACCTCCTTGAATGCCTGAAACTTCAAGAATACTGAACATTATATATCCTGTTTTTCCCCCATAATTACATGGCTAGTTTAATTTATAAGTTAGTCACAGTAAAAAATTAACAGATAACTGGTCATAAAATAGAACGGTTATAACAAAAGTGATGTCACTACAGCAAAAGCTATTTTACTATAGACTTAGTAAACTAATAGGGCCTCTTTCTCTGGAAAACATCCAAAGAAATAGTGATGGCCTCATATCCAGCTGATTCGGTGCGACTAAAACTGGACAAAGTGAAACTGCATAAGGAGCTATTACAGTGTGTTCTCTCACTTTTCTCTTTAATGTTGTATCAATATCGTCATGAGGCTGTTTTAGTATTTACAACTCTGATAGTCATGAGCATTTTTTCTCTGTGAGACAGCCCCTATCTGAATCTGTTTAACATGCTCTGCCATTTCCCCTGCCACACCTCCACCCTACCATCCAAGGCTAGTTAGAATTGAGATTAAACTATCTATCATCCCGGAAAATGATGTATCTTCCTCTTGAAAGTCAATATGGAAGAATCCTATTTTTCTAATGTAGTATTTTTTAATTAGTACATGTTTGCTGTACATAATGATTACAAGGATCATGGGGAGTTGGTATATGTACAGAATGCACCTTTTTTTTCATCTCCCACCCTTCCCAGAATCCTCTTTTGCCTTCTCCATTGTGGTCTCTATTTTTCGGTTCTTATTCTTATTCCTTGGCTCACTTTTATTCTTACCTATTGCAGAGCAAAACTTGCTTCCTGTTGTGACGCTGTTCAAAACTTCGTGGTTTCACAAAATAACACTCCAGTTGGAACTAACATGAGTTATGAGGTGGAAAGTAAAAAAGAAATCCCAATTAGAGAGAGCATTTTTCATATGTTTCCAGTGGTGAGTAAAGTTTTATTGTGAGTAACCTTTCTCTCACTTTAAGTTGTAATTTAGGGGAATGAATGATTTAAAAATTACCATATTCTGTTACGTTGTATAAAATATGTACTGTGGACCATTTTTTAAAAGGCAATTTTTATTTGTTTCCTTTTTTTTGTACTTTGGGGATCAAATCCAGGGTCTCATGCATACTAAGTAAATTTTCTACTGAGCTACACCCCCATCCCCTAAAAAGGCAATTTTAATGAGGTGAGGCTCTGTAGGGGAGGACATTTATATCTTAAATGATGGGCTGTTCTGGTTTTTGAGTCTTCCAGACTCTTCTTTGGAGGATATAACTTTATCTTGGGAAGTAACTATGTAAGAATCTGTGGCCGATAAATATGACATCCATAATACAGGGATTATCTTCTGTGCTTCTGATGTATCCCATGCTCCTAGAACATTCCCCAGTACATATATCTAATAATTGGATGTTGGCTAAATTAAAAAGTCATGGCATGATACACTACTGCTTCACGTGGCGAGGAGAAACGTGTTGGCTAATCCAAATTTGGAAATTTTTTTTGTCCTGAAGAACATCCTGTTACATATAAACATATGCTTTTAGGCATCTTAACTTAACATCATCTGTTTAAAGGCAACCAGGCTCCTGGAGAGGTGGCTCTGTGATAGAGCACTTGCCTAGCATGAATGAGGCCCTGGTTTTCATCCCTAGTTAAAAAAAAAAGAGGCAACTAGGCCAAGTCAATATGGCCAAAAATGGGGTCATTGTATCCATGCAGTTTGCCAACTGTAGAAAGTTAGATTCGTATGATTAATTCTTTGGTTGGGCTTTTGATTTCTTTGAACTTATTGCTGCTCACGTAAATTGTTTCAGTGCTTTATTCGTACTGCAGTTCAAAGGAAGAATAATTTACTGAGAATAAATGAGAAATAAAATAGAGGAAAAAATACTTCAAATTATCTAGAAGAAAAAGGAGACAAAAATAACAAAGTAGTCAATAGTCGAGAATAGTTAAAAGACAAAATTTAGTCTTTTGAAGTGATCAACAAAATGAATGCAGTACATTATAGGTAATTGTACATCAATAAAGTTTATTTAAGAGAACAACCCTCATAAGTTGTTTTCATGATGCATTGAACTACCAATAATTGCAAAGATAATAACAAAAGAATATTTCCATTCCCTGTCAGAAAAGCCCTGGAGCATTCTACACTGGGCCACTTTTCACATGTGGTTGTTTGCTGATGTGTGTGTATCCATCTAGCTTTTGGTGACCAGCAGCACACATGAGCCACATCTATCCAGTCTCTTGCTTGGCAGAGAGGAACAACTTAACATAGCATCGATAATTCTGTGTGCAGTTAACATCTGCATCGGTTGTCTAAGCTTATACTGATTTTTTTTTAACGGGGAAAAGAAATTCTGCAACCAACACAGTAACAGTTGCAACGCTAGGTCACTTTTTTGTGTGGCCCCAAGCCTTCCGTAGACGGGGGCTCATGGTGGAGTTGACATCTTTCTCACCTTACTTCCTGCCTGTCCTCTCCGCTCTCCTGCACACAGGGCTTCCTGGACCAGCCAGGCATACAGCAGATCACGGAAAATACTTTTGATTAAACAATGTGAAGTAACTTCCCTGAAAACTTTGCAAGGTTATTTGAAGAGCACAGCAACAGAGTTGATTTTCAGCCAGAGCAAGCAATAAACAGGCAATTGAGCTGTGCAATTTTACATTTTTCTTAGGAGGTTTATTTTAGGGAACATTGGGGTTTGTAATTTATTTCAACTCCTACTGAACATGAGATCCCAAAACATATGGATGTTTCCCCCCAGTTGACCAAGAAACCAGAGAAAACATTCATTACTTTGAGTGCTTAATTTGAGATATTCTTCCCTCAATAATCTTTTCTGTTGTACTGTAAAGAGCATATTTGCATTTTTGCATTCTGCCCTATCTATAAAATTCAGAATTGATTGTAGTGCCATTGAGTAAACACTACCTGAAGACATCCTGGGCTAAAAGTTCCTGGACATGAAATAGCCTGAAGTATTTGGAAACCATTCATTTAAAAACCAGGCACTAAGCTGGGCATTGTGGTTATTAAAGAAAATATGGAGCAGCATCAAATTAACATTTTAACGCAGTAAGAAACTGCACTGTGTGGTGGTTAAGATCTGGGTCCTCTGGAGCAAACACCTGGGTTCAAAGCCCAGCTCTGCCTCTCTCTAGCTATTGCTTACACTTGTGCCTCCGTATTCTCGTCCTTAAAATACTCAGAGGGTGTTTGCGTGCATTAAATGTGCTAGTAAATTACGCGCTTGAAACAGCGCCTCTCCCACAGTAAGCATCACGTGCCCGTTACAAAGCCTATTGGGAGAAGACAAGTCTATTGGGAAAAGTTCTGACCCGGAGTTCTCTGCTTGGGCGTCTCCCAAATGCAGCATTGGGAGCAGGTGGCAGGCAGCGGCTCCAGGGTCTGCTGGGGTTCTGGGCTGCCTCAGAATACCAGCCCTGCACGTTGCCAGTGGTACCGGTGAACCAGCTCTGGGGAGGGGTGTACCTTGATTGTGCTTTAAATGCCAACACCATGGCCAGTTTCAAAGTGCCGGTGGTATAACTGCCAGTTGGTGGAATTCCTGAATGTCGCCCAGCTGGCGCCATCTAGCAGCCTATAGGAGCAGCTCCAGCGCGCTGCTGGCATGGCGCTGGGGAGACCATCGGACCAGCAGTGCTTATCCAGAATTCACAGTGTACTCTGCTATATACGGAGGAAGAGAGGTGGGGAAGCGGAAAGCAAGAAGCACCTTTCTGTTCTTGAGGATTTACATTCTCTTGTTGAAGACAGAATAGGTGAATCGGGCCCTCACCACGGTGGTGTATGAGCGGGCACCTTCCTGTGGGCTCAGAGATGTATTATTATTTCAGGGGATATGATAGGAAGAAGTCAAGAGCACTGTCGAGTCGGAAAGCTGTATTTCAGACTGCAGAGGAATTGGGGAAAATGAGAACCCTTTGGGGTACATGAGGTGGGTCCTAGAAGCAAATGGAAAATGTTCAGGCCTCAGAAGTTAATTTGAAATATGTCATCTGGAGCTGGTCGGCCTCCCTGAAGCATACCGGCTGGTCACTGCACAGACGTCCAGCATAAATCTAATGCCCTTGTGGACCCCAAAGGCCCGACTGCTTAAAACACACGGGAAACTTCTGCTAAATTACCTATTAATTTTGTAGCTTAGAGTAAAAGATTTAATGCTACTTTCTAATTTCATTATTCTCTCCCTTTCTTTGCTAAAAAAAAAAAAAATCTCTGTTAAAAAGGTGCTATGTTGAATTTGGCCATTCTCCTTTCTATGATATAAGATATATTATATTTTGTATACAAATGTATTTATAAGCTTACTTTTTATTGTATATTATAAAATATCGGTTCTCTCCAAGAGAAGTGAAACAGATTTACATGATGTCTTTTTATTATGTCATAAGTTGATCAGCATCCTGTTACTTTTTTTCTTTTTAAATGCTGCTGCTTTTCCCTGTTCTTGTTCTTTTTCTTCTCCTTAGCATGTGTGAAAAGTTATTATAATTGAGCTGATGATGTCTGTGGTTATTAAACCAGTGATATTTCATGGCAATTTCACTTTGTTCTGCCAGTCTCAGCCTTTTGTGGAATACCCTTATAATCAGTGTGCCGTGGTTGGAAACGGAGGAATTCTGAATAAGTCTCTCTGCGGAGCTGAAATAGATAAATCTGACTTTGTTTTTAGGTAAGAGTTGTTCTTTGAAACCTAAGATCAATTGGATATTTCAAAGACAGAATGGCAAGATACCGCGTGTGTGTGTGTGTGTCGATTTTGACTCTTGAGTTGTGTTGCTAATGTCTACAAATTACCCATGTTAGGCTTCCCTGGAGGATTACACGGCTCACAAGTTTCTCAGAGTGTTCATACCAGGCAGATAAAAATGTGCTTTGGTCATCTACCTTTAGGAAATGGGGGTGAAATCGAGATGAAAGAGGGCTTGGCACTGCAGAACTCATCGGAGGCTTCGGTGCTTGGATAGGTACCATGACTCCCTTGGGAGGACTCCAGCCAGGAGCATTTCCCAGACTCACCCGGCCTTGAAGTCATGCCTCTCTTACAGAGGACGTCACAAAAGTTTCATTCTCCAGTGTTACTAGGGGAAATGCATTTTACAGCAGTGCAACATCATTGTTCAGTCTTCGGAGTTGAAATTTTAAAATTTTTTGTGCAGCTTATAAATTATGGTCTTCTAAAACATTTTTATCTCAATACCAGCTAGTTTATAAAAATACAAATAAAATGGTTTTAATATGTGGCTGGTACTAATAAGCCATTCCACAGAGCATCTCCACTTTCAGAATATGATCAAAAGGTGATTCTTTCATCATCTGAGGATGAATTTCAGTTGAAATACATCTTTTTAAAATGTAGAAATCTATTTCATTCTGTTTTAGGAGCATTGATTTCATACATCGGAGATCCTTTGGGCCCCATTTATTTCATGCTATCCTTTTTACAATTTTTTAAATGAGATTTTCCATAAATACTGTACTGTAGCTCCTCCTTCACTGTAATCTCATTTCAAAATTTTATGCTGAAGATAATGACAGATCAACAATAGGCCTTACAGTGCAAAAATTATTGAATGTATTATTCATGATTAAGATGGCCAATATGTGAATGGCTTAGCCATTCTGTTTAAATTCTCAGTGTGCAAAAGAACCATAATGAAGACAAATAATTCTGCATGCAATAGACTTCTTGTAGACTTAAAATTCCCAAAACATCTGTGGTGAGTATTCCACCTAAACATTCATTTTACTTTATAGCTAGTATAAGAAATATAAGTTTTGGCTTCAACCCTAAAAAGTCCCAACAGCTATTTGATTTATAACTTTAAAATGCCTGTAAATGCCTGTATTTCTGGATTCTGCTTCTGCTGATGCCACGTATTTTTATGAATATAGAGTTCCCTTAAAACTTGGACAAACTTAATGGCAAAATGAGGAATAGATGTTGTTGGAGTCATTAGAATGTACTTAATTTTTAAGCCCATACTTGTTTTGCCTATCATATTGATTATAAAACAATTTGGAAGCTACTTAATTGTTTTTTATTTAAAAGATTAGGAGTTGTGGATTAAGTATGTAACTATACTTAAAAGATAGTATGTAAGTATACTTAAAAATGGTAACTATATGATGGTATATAATGTGTACAATTAATGAAATACACATTACATTAATATGTTCAATGTGATGAGGTACACAAAAAACATTAGCAGAAACGTTGGCAGTAAAACAAATCTTGTGACTGTAAATCCATATGTGTGTGTGTGTGTGTGTGTGTGTGTGTGTATCTATATGGCCATTGTGTACATTATATGTAGCATATATATATATCCCGATCCTGTATTTCCCCTGGAAGTCTTCTGTGATCTTATATTGGAAATCATTTTTGATTCTTCAAAAGAATACGAGGCTATTTCTCATAGGAAGCCCACTAATAAGGTCATTTCCTTGGCCTTGAATCTATAATTAATCTTTATTTTCTGATGTGTCTTTTATATCACAGAGGGAAGTGTTTTGTTTCATGTATTCATTATGTCTCACAGGACATGGAATAGAATATTTCAACCTCAGTCATATCACAGAGGATGTCATCTTTAAACAGCCTTCCTACGAAAGCACTTGATGTCCCTTTTTAGGGTTAGCTTTCAAGAAATGGGCTACTTGAAATTTAAAATGTTTAGGGAGTCATAACCTTCTTTCTCCCTTTTTTGTGATCTTAGATGTCTTAATTTGTTTTCCAGTGTAAAAACAAATCAGTGCTCAAAGGAAGATGAGAACACCGCTATGAAGACATCACTATAAGAACATTAGGGTTTTATTTATTAATACCAGAGTTGGGTGGCGAAACCATCATATAAGAATTAAGAGATTTTATTTTTGTGTAGTCTTTGCCTCTGGCAAATGCTATAACCTTAGTTGCTGTGCTTCAATTTTTTAAAATCTGGAAATTAGTGATCACACCACTGTGGGAATATAATTAATACAAATGACAATTTTAATAAAAGGATTGGAAACTGACAGGCATGGTGTACTTGGCATTTCTGGTTTTCATACTTTTAAAAAGTCATTGAAACTAACTACTAAATTTATGTATTTTAAACAATGTGGAAATGTCAAAAAAGAGCTCAGTACTTATGAAATAGCCTTAAAGGGAAATTGGATAAATTCTGAGCATCCCTGAACAACAACGATATTCTCTAATGTAAGGACAGTAGTCAGATGTGTATGTGTGTATGTATTGCTATGTGTGTGCATACTAAATTTTTATAAGTTGTATTTTGAAAATAGTTTCCCTTCCATATTTCAGGTGTAACCTCCCTCCAACCACAGGAAACATTAGCAAAGATGTTGGCAGTAAAACAAATCTTGTGACTGTAAATCCCAGTATCATAACACTAAAGTAAGTGTTTCCTGGTTACACAACTATTCAAGAACATTTTTTAATTGTTTAACATGTTTCTAGGTCTAAGTGTTAATCTTGTTTCTGAGGGTGACTTGCAACACAGCTAGAACAGCTTTTGAAGAAAAAAAATAAAAGAATACCTTTGAAAATGTTGATTCTATCAAGGTTGTGGTTCATCAGAGGTTTGACTTGGTTGTGCTACTGTCATAACCTAGATTAATCAAATGAGAGCTTATTTGTCTCTTCATCTTTTTAACAATACTGAAGTCAGTTTCTTCTATTTCCTTTCAGAGTTTTAACATTACTCTTTGAACTTCATAGCTCTTGCTACGTAAAACTTAGTCTATTTAGAAATTTTGGACAGTTTGGTAAAATACAATTTTCATTTTGGATAGTATCTTACTTCAAAATAATTTCTGTGTTTCATTTCTGCAGTGTAACTACTTCACACTGTTGACTGGTTCATGAAAATCACAAGCATAGCTTTACTCCATTGTTCTCATCAGAAACGACTGATGACTGTTATTAATAGACTGTGCCCTTGCAAAGACTTTTAAAAGTCTTGAGCAGAAACAAAAGATTGTACCTGACAGAAGAAAGCTGACTTTTAAAATATGATACAATTATGTTAACAGGCAGACTAAGGTATCATTTAAATCATACATATAGTGAAAGTACAATGCATGGAGGAAATTTTTTAATGTAATAGATATTTCTGTCTACATCTGCATAGGTTGTTCAGAGGAAACTTCTACTTTATAACTCAATATGTGCAATACATGCACAAACCACAGGTATACAGCTCAGTGAATTTTTTTAAATGTAGATGTATATATGCTATGCTTGGGAAAAAAGCATCCAAAGGAACTTAAGAAAATACCACAGGGTTGGAATGTAAAATAATACAAGAAATGTCGGTCCAGTAGGGTAGAACCCAGCAAGAAAGTAGAAATTGAAAGCCTAGGTATTTCATGAGAGATGAAGAGCTGGTCCTTGATATATATATATATGATGCTTGAATGATTTTTCTGAGTCTATGGCTTATCTCTTATACATAGAATATAAATAAACGATTCAGTTTTTTGATGGGCAGTAAATTCAGCCTCATGGTACCAAAGCTGTTCCATTGATTCTTATTACTGTGATTATCATGATTTTTAAAAAATTTGGCAGATATGGAAACTTAAAGGAGAAGAAAGCACTATTTCTGGAGGACATTGCGACCTACGGAGATGCCTTCCTCCTTCTGCCCGCGTTTTCCTTCCGAGCCAACACTGGCACCTCTTTTAAAGTGTTCTACACACTCAAAGAATCTAAAGCAAGGCAAAAAGTTCTCTTTTTCCATCCCAAGTACCTGAAACATCTTGCGCTCTTCTGGAAAACGAAAGGTGTGACCGCCTACCGCCTGTCCTCCGGCTTGATGATCACAAGCGTTGCCGTGGAGCTGTGTGAAAACGTGAAGCTCTATGGCTTTTGGCCCTTCTCCAAAACCGTTGAACGCACACCTGTCAGCCATCACTACTACGACAACAGGCTACCCAAGCGTGGTTTCCATCAGATGCCCAAAGAATATAGCCAGATCCTCCAACTTCATGTGAAAGGAATCCTCAAACTACAATTTAGCAAATGTGAAGTGTCATAAACAAAGTTTCTGACAGTGAGCCTAATTTTCATAGAGTGCAGTAGGTGAGCAGTGTTTCCAAATGCTAAAAGAGGTGGTTAATGGGTATTATAGGAAGAACCCCAAAGCTTGGTTTGACCAAAGCTCTCTTTCACTTTGTATCCTCTGCATGTCAATCACTTCAGTTTTCAGTTTCCTTTGTTTGTAAAAGGAGGATCATGCTACTGAGTTAGAGAAGTAAAAAGGAGTAATTTATGAAAACTCCTGGTGTAGCATTTGGTGTGAGGTAGAGAGTCAGTAACTATTTCTGTGTTAATATTAAAAACAGCCATTTCCACTCTCACCAGAAGATAGAGGGCATATTATCTTGGAGACCCTTTCTCAAGAGAAGAGCTGAATTGCCATATTTACTGCATTTTCTTCTCTCCCAGTCTTCGCTTTATTAATATCCTTCCCATTTTTCTTTTGTACAAGAAAATTGTGGAGTTAAACAAGAAATCTTTGATTATTCCGGAATGAAAGTCTTCTCTTCGTAGGGCAGTGTCCCTGCCTCTGATTAAATTCTCCTGTGATATTAGCCTCACTGCTGTGTTGGATAGATTTGGGCCATTTTTTTCCCACTGTTATCTACATTTGAAATCATTCTTTATTATTTTATATTTTCTTTCTGTCTCATTCTTATGCCTTTTTCTCTCCCACTGACAGAATATACTTCAAGGACATGAATAGTTACAGTGCCCAGGCTTTTTCACTTTTTGTCTTGTCTGTGGATCACTTGTTTGATTTAATTTTAAAAAATATTGAACAGCTACTTTGTGCCAGGCCCTGTACCAGGCTCGGTGAGAGGGCTAGAAAGACTCGCTCTCGCGAGAAGGAGCACACATGCATGTCATTCACAATATGGTACAGCAAGTGTTATAATGATAACAATTATGAAAGAAGTGCTGGAAAGATCACAGACAGGAATAACTCAGTCTCTTTCAGTGCACTCTATTTCAGAGTATCTGTTTCAGAAAAGAAGCCATTTTAGAAAAAATGAGGTATTTTTTCAAAATGAGGGTAATTCTAGGGAGAGGGAATGATAGGAGAAGAAGCTGTTCCCTTGATTCTGGTCCATCAGAATGAGAATATTTGAACATAGATCATGGTTTTTGCCCCAAAATTGTCACACGAGCATGGGAACGGTGCATGGGGATGGTGGCTTGGGCTGACATCTATAAAATAGGGACAATTCAGACATGACCAATTTAATAGGAGGGTTTAAGGGTGAGAACACCGAAAAAACGTAATTCCCCCCAAGAAAGATACGTGCTTATGTGAAAAATAAGACTTATAGTTTAGGCACCAGTATAAAATAAAACTCGAGTAGATATTAAATATTAGCATTTTATGCCACTCCCTTCCTTATGTTATGATGATACTCATATGTTATCCTTGCATCTGCTGAATAAGTTATTTGACTTACCTATATAATCATGTATGTACTTTTCTGCCCATCATTGAACCTTTATAAGAAGACTAGAAATCAGAGTGTAGCACGTCAGTATGTCAAAATAATTATAATTTTTAAATTAATGATCAGAGCCAGAGTATTGTTTTCCTAAACATCCGCTTTTAAGAACACTGTGCTATAAATTGTTCATTTTATAAAATACATCTCTACTTTGTACTTGACATATGTGTTGTGATTTTGAGTTCATATTTTCATAGCATATGAAACGTACTAGCTTTATAAATTGGTGATAGTTCCTCTATGAATATTTTTCAAAAGGAAAATGCTTTTTGTTATATAAAGTCTAATTTATTTATTATCTTTCTTTTTGTGGTGAATGGATGGCTTTTTTATTGCTTCTAATGGATTTAATTAGTTTTAAGTAATATGCTGGCAGCATTCATAATGTTTCAATCATGTTACTAGAAATGGATTCTTTTTTTTTTTTTTTTTTTGGTACCAGGGATCAAACTCAGGTCCTTGCGCTTGCACAGCAGGTGGTGAAACCACTGAGCTAAATCCCTGGCCCTAGCAATGGATTCTTAAAAATAGATGAGAACACCCTAGTATTTTAGTTAGTAAAATGATTTTTTCAAAATGTTTATAGCAAGTGAAGTAAATGATTTCTCTTTAATACTGGAAATATATGATTAAAGACTAAAAGTAATCGAATATACTGAAATAAATTGTCAAATGTACAAGGCAGAGATTCTACATGTTATTTTAATAAAATTGCATATGATTAAGACGTTTAAAGTTTACTTATGTTATTCCCATATAAGCTATTTTAACTTAGAAAGTTTTCTCTAGAATACCAAAATGGAATCTCCAGAAATACTCAAAGTAATATGAGGTCAAGAGGCATAATGATACCCAAGTTCAAATAAAACTTCAATAGAAAAAAATATTTGTGAGGTTTTTTGTGGAGAAAATTACATGCACATATCTGGATTTTATTTCTTATTTAACATCATGTTATCATCTTAAAAGCGTGTTTAAAATTTTACCACTTGATTTACACTAGCCAAAAACTCATTGGTCAAAAACAAACAAATAAAAAAATACCTAGAGATTTCTTAAGCATGTCACAGTCAGACTTAGTGGCAATTAATCTACAAGTCGATAAGGGGGAGTTTATAGCCTTTTTGTTTTGATCTTGGTAAAAGCTTGGAGTAATTCACCATTGCAGAACAAAAAGCCCTGTGATTTGTGTTTTACAATTTACATGCCATATTGGCTAAATTCGTGTTCCATCATATTTTGAGTAATGTGCATTCTTCATGTCTCTTCCAAATGGTTCAAGGTCGAGAGTATCTGATGTTATTTGAGGCCCTCCCATGCTCTCTCTAGTAGAGTCTAGTGTGTTGTAGAGACCTGGAGGGAGTGGGGGCCACATGTACCTCATCCACATCATAATATTTCCTTCTGGGGATAGCAGGACTTTCCACCTGTTCCATTGCATGTGCCAATAATCTCCTTTTGTTCCAAAACATAACATGACTTAGAACTTTCCAAAATATGATAGACCATGAATTTTAACATTTTGGCTTATCAGCTATGTAAATTCCAAAGGTTAAGTCATACTTCCTTTTGCTCTGTAATGGCAAATTATTGCAAGTTTTCCAACAAGATCAAAGCACAAAGAAAAACTATGGAGATTACCCACCATAAGTCTAACTAACTCTCTCAAGAATGTATAAGTTCAGCATTGTTTAAATGTTGTTAAATGGATTAAATTTGATCTTTTGCTCTTAAAAGTCATGTATATCAAATGGGAACTGAAAAGGGCTGTCTGGGTACTGGTGCTAGACAATATTAGACCTTCAGTTAGGGTTCTAGCTCATAACACTATACAGTAGCAGTTTCTAAGGGAGCTACAGGCTCACTTGCTTCTATTTTCTACTTGGCGTTCAGCATCATTGCACAATGTGACTGAATAACGCGTTTCCAAAATAGTTTTCAGCCAAATCCACAGCCAAACAAGAAAGAATCATTTAAATATGTAGGTCATTTAAGAGCATAGTTCACAGTGCTGGTAGTCCCTGAAAAATATTCCACGAACTATTGCATAAAGTTAATTTTTGTACAATTTAATATTCCTGAAAAGCCTCTGGTTTTTTTCATCTGAACAAAACACAAAGACCAATAGATCATGACTTTCATAAAAGATTTCCCTCTGCATGTAAATTCCAACCCAGTAAATATATGGGCTCTCACCCAGATATTCAAGGACTTTTTTTGGAGAACTTTTTATGTATAGCATACTGACCTAAGCCATAAATCAGACCTATTATTACCTAGAATTTTCCTTGCTTACAGAAAATTTATCAGTTAGATATATCTTGTCAAGTACCTAAATCATTCCATGAATTTCAAGAAGGTTTGGGGAAAATTGGAAAATTTTGCGGACAACAAAATTTTGTTGTTCCTGGACAACCCAAACAGCTATTGTAGATGTATACCTTTGATATAATGACATCCAAAACATTTTATTTATGTAACATTACATGGAAACAGATTATTATGCTACTAAACATTGAAGTCACTGTAGGAATTCAGTTGATATATTTGATGCCCTTGGCCCTTGTGACAAGGTATGTTGACAGTTTCCTCTTCACGTGTGTCGTCAGAAGGCTGACACCATAGTGAACAGTATTACCATTCTCCTCCTGAGGATAAACAGACAGGATTCTTTCTCTTGACCTTTATTATTCTGGAACATCACTTCCAGAAGTAGTCTTCTTTTTATAAAGAAAGTGAGTGAGATATGTTAAAGCTGCACAAGGTACATAATGGAAATGGGACAAATTCTTTAGAAGATGGTATGGGAACATTGGTCTATATGGAAAAAAATAAGCAGATACATTTTGTACCATGTAAAAAGTTGGACTCCGTAGAAATTAAAGATCAATGTAAAAGTAAAAGTATAAAGCTCGTAGAAGAAAATGTAGAAGAATTATGTCTGAAATTTAGATGAGAAATTACTATTTTTATTTTTAGTTACATTTTTGGTACAATTTAGATATACTTGTTTCTGTGGTGTGAGAAACTGAAAGTATTAAAAAGGACCAAAATGTATAATAGATAATCTGAAATAGGAAGAAAAAGTTCAAATGGGAAGGGGGACTAAGAGAGGAGGGGGAAAGAAAGAAAGAGAAAATGGCAAAAAACAAGAAAAGAAAGATAAAATAGAAACAAAGCTTTTGTGACTAAGAAGCTGTACTTCTTAAACATGACCTAAAAATAATTTCTTAGAGAATCAGGCTAAGAAATATATGACTATATTAAAATGAAAAATTTCTAGTAAGTAAATGACACTTGAAAATTTATAGGCTGGTGACAGATTGCTATAGCTTTTAGAATGCATAAAATTAAAGACATTAATATAAAACCATTCCATGAGACTGAAAATCAACATGTCAGAGACAAGAAAACAAAGGGAAAAGCAGTGTAGCTAATAAGAATAGGAAGTGATGCTTAAACATATTAGTAATCTGAGAAGTGCTGATTAAAGTTATATTCTATACCCATTGTATTGGCAAAACATTAGTAATGTGGCTAATTTAGTGTGCTGGTGTAAGTATAAACTGACTCATGCTTTTTGGCCAAAAATATCTGAAAGTTTTGAGTAAAATTAATCAAATATCTACCCTGTGGGCCAGCAGTCTCACTTTAGCATGTATGTGTCAGACCACCTTTGCAGGTCCACAAAGAGATAGTTACTAAGATATTCAGTTTATTGTTGCTGGTAGTAGCGGACAACTGGACACACAGGTGTCCATCTCTTAAGCGAAGTGTGGTGACTACACAGTGTGGAAACCAGTATAGCCATTAGAAGCAACTTATAGGTACCCCAAGAGCAGGAAAGATAGATCTTTAAAATTTAGCATAAAAAAATAAGAGCTATAGCACTGTATCATCTAATTATCTTAAAGCAAGTACATGAACACACACATATGTTGGAGGGTATATATCAAACACAAGCTATATACCCATTAAGGGGACGGTAAGAGAATTTATTTAGGGCTAATTTATATGTTATCATGTTTAACATTGTTAACCATTGCTATCATGGTTAAAACAGCAAGCCATTGAGCCATTGGATATATTTTTATCCTCACATAAAATATCTTTAGTTACATATAAATAAACATAGAGTCTGAGTACCCACTCAAAACTGTGGGTAACTGTTGTAAGGTTGTTTTATAAGAGTAGAGCTAGCACTCAAAGTAACTCTAAAGTCTCTTTTTCTAGTATGCAGTTATAAAGTGGAAAGGAAAGTCAATATTATTAGATATAACTGACATATAATCAACATATTTAAAGTGTACAATTTGCCAGTTAATACATTGTAGATCTCCATTACCCTTAAATGTTTCCTTGTGCTACTTTGTAACTGATTGTTCCTTCTTACTTCTCTTTGTCCATTCCACCCTAGTACCCAGGAAATCCCTAATCTTCCTTTCTATAGACTAATTTACTTTTTTTTTTTTTTTACAGTATAGACTGTTTACATTTTTAAAAATTTTTATGTAATTGAAATCATACTGTGCATTCATTTTGTCTTAGTAATATTAACCTGATAATATATGTTAATAATACGTTATGTTGTTTGTGTATTAATAGTTCCTTTATTAGCTAAGTAGAATTTTGTTACACAATGTACCACAATTTGTTTATCCATTCACCTATTTATGTACATTTTAGTTGTCTTTGGTTATTTGCTGTTAGAAATAAAGTTCTCATAAACGTTCATGTACAAGTCTTTGTGTGAATGCGTAATTTCCTTGGAGCAGTTATCGAGGATTGGATTGGCTAGGGCACATGGTCAGTGCAGTCTATTTTTTAAAAAACTACTGAAGTATTTGCTAAAGTGGTTGTGACATTTCGTATTATCAGAAGTGTACCCAGTAGCAGTTACCAAAATGAAATTAGTAAATTTCAAATTTCCTTGACAAAATTTGGTCTAGTCTGTCTTTTTTTCTTGTCTTTTTAATTTTAGACTTTTAAATTTAATTTTAATTCTGTTGAGTGTATAGTTGTAGCTCATTGTGTTTTTAATTTACATTTCCCTTATGAATATCTTTCCATGTGTTTATTTAACTTCCATAAATCTTCTATTAGTTTTTACTGTGTTCTGTTGTATTCATTTTAATTTTGCAGTATATTGTATGCTTCTGAGTTCTTTTGGAGAAGAGCATTTAGTGCGATAAATTAATTTGTCCTCTGGGTTTTCAGGGTGTTTGTGTGTGTGATATCCAGTCAAATGTTGTTGCATTACTCTTCTATTCTTTATCTTTAAGAATCTCAAAGAGATTTCAAATCCTTGTCTCAGCTATTACCATGTGTTCTTGGGAAGCTAATGCCGTCAGTCTCATCTGATATAGAAATGCAAGTTATCGAAAAATCAAAGCTATTAAAGATTTGCCTAAGTTAATCATTAACAGAGTTAATAGTGAGCATCCAATGTGCAGGCAGCTGTCACCCCAAATCTGGTATTATTAAAAGCTTGTCCTGTACCAAACACAGTCTGCAAGACTTTACATGTATTTTAATGGATGATTATGAAATTTCAAGGTAGCTAACCTCCTGTTTCACAGAAGGCCTAGATGACTTTCAGCTGAAAATATCAGAATGCCCCACCAAACATGGGTCAAACTCTTTAGGATTCTTGAACCAGACCCAAAGTCCAGAGACAGAGCAGCTAAGCAGTTGCTTGTGGGTCCCAGGCCTTGAGTCTGTTCCTCTGTACACCTCCAGAGAAGATATCCAGGTCACTCCTGGACTACATCTCAGAAACAGCAAGGAGAGCTTTCCTCAAAGCCCAGCAAACCTTTCTTTGTTTCTTTCTGCCTCAGATTGGCCATGTACCCGTTCCTGAAATAATCAGTAACAAATAACAAGTTATTGATGTAACTTTCACATTTAGTCCTAGCCTAGGTTCACAGGGTCTCCAAGGAGATAAGTGTGCACCTGAACAAGACCAAGATTCTGTTGAGCAGGAGGAAGGGAGGAATAGATGTCAACTGGGCACCTGGCCAGATTTGCTAGAAGTCATTTTTCCCACCACTCATCTGCTAAACTTGCGTTTAAACCCAAGTGTTTCTGACTCTTAGTTCCATGTTCATACCATCCTGCTCATCAGTGAAAACAAAATGACAAAAATATGCTATAAGTAATATTTAAAATTTTTCCACTAAATTAGCTCCTGCACATGCAATGTATTTATTCCAGAAGCTATTCTTATATATAAATGCTACCTTTAAAAAGTTCCTTCTGAGGATTCATTCTTTCTCTATATTAAATCAAAATGTAATGTGTCGGATCTGATATTCTTATTTGCCTTTCTTACAAGGCAATGCCTTGATTAATTTTTCATCAAATGTGTGAAATGTAATGTTTGCTCATGTGTGAAGTCTCAGAAATTACTATTAAGACTTTACCTTGTAGTTGACATTCTGGGCTTACTGATCTTTGGGTAAATGTTGTGGCATTTTAACAACTTTGTTAAAAGAGCTCAAAGTGGATGGGTTCCCAGCATGGTAGCCTTTTACCTTAATATTCGCCCACATTGCTAAGAATTGTGAAATTCCCTTTATGCTAGAAGTATCATAATAGTTCTAGTCACAGGTAAGTGTGTGGTCCCCTAATAATAAACGTCTTTGAAGAGAATGCACCCTTTTGTTTTGGGGGGTTTTAAAAAAAATTTTTAAATAACTTTATTATCAAACACACACATATACAAAAAATTAAAACCAAAGAAGAACAATGCAAGGGGAAAAAACTACAATAATATTCAAATACAGTAGAACTCAACCAAAACAAAACTGAGAAGAGCCAGGGATTTAGCTCAGTGGTTTCACTGCGTGCTGTGCAAGCACAAGGACCCGAGTTCAATCCCCAGTACCAAAAAAAAAAAAACTGAAAAGCATTTAAACATTTTCCCATATAACTTAAAAAAGCATCTCAAGTACCAACAAGACACCAGAGGATGTGATTGGTTTCAGAAAGATCCACAACACCAACATTGAACAAATAATGATCTGGAAAAAAATTCCAGTTAGCAGACTCCACATAAGCCAAGCTTCAACCCTTTTGTTTTTTACCTCTAAGTGAACACATTATGGAAAGTTTATTCTGAACAAAATCCCTCGTTCTGGTTTGCCCAGGTGGTCCTAGTTCATCCCTGTTCATTCTCAGAGGTGTCTAATTTGAACGGTAATGTAGGTTGTCACTTGGGTAATTTGAAATTGGAATTTCATAAACAGGATTCAGTAGGCATATGCAGTATAACGTAGGCAAAAGTTTAAAGCTTAAGTTTTAAAATCTGTCAACCAGGGGCTGGGAATTTAGCACAGTGGTTTTGCCGCCTGCTGCACAAGCACAAGGACCTGAGTTCGATCCCCAGTACCAAAAAAACCCCCAAAAAATCTGTCAACCAGAAATGTAACATTCTCCTCTGAATTTCTTAAGGACAGCACCACATGGTCACATGGCAATGTAAAGTTCATCAAAAGAATTGGCTGGGTTTGGAGTGCTTTTCATCTCTGAGTAGATTTTGTGTTCTGAATATGCAGCTCTGTAGAAAAGGTGAATCTTCAGAAGGCTGCGGGTCAGCCCTGGCACTCCTCTGATTCACTCTAAAACCAAGTTCCTCAGAGGGCTGAGAAAATATTTAATCTCTTTTCTTCTCCTTCATCCTTCAAAATATGGATTCAGGTACCCGCTCCACAGAGTATCTTCATCAATTAATGTCATCAGTGCCTTAAAGGTAAAAGCAGCCTATCATTCAACTATTTTAACATATTTAACTGTTGTCAGCTTGTCAAAATATTTCTTGGTAGAATTAAAGTTAGCATATTAAAGTTGCTAGAGAAATTATAACACTTGGAAGGATTAAATAGCACTGGTCTTAATTATAACGTGAGTGTCAGCCTACACAAGAGGAAGTACCAATACCTATTTTCCCTGTTGAGAAAATATTTCCCCCACCTCCATGTCACGGTGATAGCAATGAACAGCGTCATGGTCTACACAGAATGAGACAATTATTAACATTTTTGCTATACCTAGGAAGACTTAAACATTATTTTGCTTCTTGTTTTTGTCTCATGTTTTTTGAGAAGCTACTCCAGACTTAGTTTCTAAATCAGTGTTAGTATTTGGTAAATGTACAGTCCATTCAGTTTCAGTGAATAAATATATTTGTGTGTATACATTTATTTTATTATTAAACACTATTTCCATAACAGCTTGCTTTATAATGTGTCCATTTATGAAAATTGAATATCATTGAATGCCAATGGCCATTTAATAAAGATGATACTACCATCATGGGTATCATGTAAGTAATCAGCTACTTGTAATTGAATATAAGTAGAATATAACTTTTAAGACTTGTCTTAAACTATTAATAACTTTAATTATTTTGTTGGCTTCTTTGAGGTTGTAACCAGTATTTGACTCCATTTTATAGTTTAGGAAATTCAGATTTCAAAAGAGCAAGTAACTTGAACTAGAGAAGACTAGAGGAATTACATTTGTGTAACATTTTGGAAATTATTTACAGAAAATTTGCAAGAGTAATATGATAATTTCCCTCTATACTCCTTCCAAACAAGTCCCCGATTGATTTGAGGGGAAATGGATGAAATCACGATTCTGTACCCTAAATCAGCAAGTATTTTCTAAGAAACCAACCTCGCTCTAACCAGTAATGCAATTCAGGAAACAAACTTCCTCCTTAAATCACCACATTGACCATCTCCTCAATCTAGATGAGCAATAATGACACTGTTTATGCATATAACCCTCCATCAGTCAATCACTGGTTTCTGGAGATAATTTTTCTAGTGTTTTTGCTGTACTTTGGGATATTTGTAGTCAACCAGAAAGTGCTATTTTGAGTGGTTAGGAAATGCAATCTGAAAACACTTCACAGTATTCTTATTATAACTCCTCCCCCCCACCCCCACCCCCACTTTAAAACAGCCTATATGGCCTCTGGTTACAAATTATGAAATTGATTGAGGTGGGAATCAGATTTCCTTGTTCTCATTATCATCCAGTAAATTTTCTACAGTGAATCAAACACCACCAAATCCTTGGGTCTTCCATAGAGAATGTTGTTAGTTCCTCTCTGTCACAGGTTTTCTAAGGTTATTACTAAAGGACAGAAAGTTTTATGGCTCCTCTGTCTTCATTTCATTTCTAGCAGAAAGGTAAGCCCTGGTTCACACGCATCCTCAGGCGGAGGACTCTGCAGCCTCCCTGCCGTGTATGTTCACAAGATACATCCCTTTCTCTCCCATGCCATATGTTGGAACCAGGGAATTCTGGCCTTTATAATTTCATTAGATTTTCTGGTCCATTTTGTGACTGCTCAGCTCTGGTTGGGACCATTACAGGATGAGACCAAATCACATAAAGCCCCTCCATTGTTCCATCATGGGTGACAAGTTTAATTCAAGTTCCTCAAGAGATACCTAGGAAATGTACGTGTATAATATTGAACCCTTGGAGATCTGTTTTGTCAATCTCTGAGACACATGAGATTTCAGAGCAACTTGGTGTAATGATCAACAGTACCGAGTGGCACTTCTGAAACCAACCATAACATGTTTGCTTCCTCACATGCTTCATGTAAGGCAGACTCTCAAGGAGATAATGAACTCTTTCCCATTTTTACTTT